TCCCCAATGCCTATCCTTTCATGTCTCATTTCTCTATAGTCCTTATGGCTTTGCTCCTTTCCTCTAACTATTTGTTCCAGCCATGCTGACCTGGAAAAATGATAATTATAAGGCAGTTCTCTCCTGGTCCTCTGGTAGTCCTGCTCTCCAGTCCACATGGCATCTTTTAAATAGTAAGGGTGGCTTCCCAGCCTCATTTTCCTCATTCCGAGGGCATAGAGCCAAGTCATATTACCAAGTAACTTAACTCTTGACTCCAGAAGTGTTTTATGTACTGTCTCTCCCACCCCTTACCTTTAAAAAGCCTGTCCCCTGCCCCTCTGCTTAATCCCTGAGAGTCTAAAACCTTACCTATGTTGCTGAAATTCCTGTATTTTTAGAGACAAATTATCCTAGAATGTTCTGTTTCTTCCCTGGGGAAAAAACAAAAAAATAATGTGCCAGGGCTTCTGCAGGAAAATTACAATTATATTTAATGCCTTGGATTGCTAGGGCATTGCACTCTGCTGACACAGGGGTGCGGAGTTGGAGAGAGAAGAATAGGAACCACAACTGTCTGTGTGGCCCAAATGTTTGAATCAGAGGCTCTGGCTGTCTGAAAGCCACAGTGGCTGAGGGATCTATATCCCAGCACTCATAACCCATTTTTTGGCATATCAGTTGAGAAATGTTGATAAGGAGTCAAGTCCAAGGCAGGGATTAGAAGGCTGGAAATGCCTAGGAACTGTACTCAAATTAAGGCCAGACTCTGGCCTTGGATCAGAAGCTGTGGCTGATTTGGTCAGAAGATGAGCAGAAACCTATAGTGATCCTTTCTCCAATGTGGGGACATTGACAGGAGTCAATGTGTTGCTTTGGTAATATTTTAGTTGTCATTCTCTAAGTACATTCCTATTTCAGAGCTGTGCCAGGAAGTAGGATAAACTAAATGCCATTGAACCTGAATTCTAACAGGCAAAGTCTTATACCAGGTAGTTAATGAGGACCAAGGTTTGAATATTAAGATTGGTGGAGATTGATGTATTTTTTAATTTATTCATTCACTAATTATTTATGGAGCACTTACTTGGTGCCAGGCACTAAGGGAGAGATGAAAGACATTATCTGCACCTAATGGATGGGATAAGTAAACATTTGACTATGGCAGGCACCATGGAGGGAGTTGATACAGATCACTGTTATCCCAGAAGAGGGTACCTAAGCCAGTCATGAGAGAGAAGACAATATGAGGATTGGTCTTCTCTCTGGAGGTAGTGATGCCCTGGCTGAGTCTTAAAGGAGGTAGTGATGCCCTGGCTGAGTCTTAAAGGTGAATAAGAGTTGGTAGAGTAGAAAATGAGGGGAAGGGCATTCCAGGCAGAGGAAGAGTGTGTGCAAAAGGCACAAAGGCAAGATTTAGAATAAGAATTTTTGGAAATGCTGATTATTTTATAGACTGTTTGTAGGTAAGTGATGTGAGTTGAAGTTGAAGAGGAAAATCATGTCAGATGAAAAAGACCTTGCATGCCGTGCAAAGGTATTTTACCCCAAAGGCAATGGAAAGCCACTGAATGATTTTAAGTGGAAGAGAGATATAATTGGATCTGAATTTTAGAAGTTCATTCTGGTAGTAATGGCAGGGAGGGCTGGATTCAGATAGAGTCGGGAGGCCAACTTTTGGCACTGACCTCATTGTCTTCTTACCTGTCTTTATTGTCACATACTTTGTAGAATCTATCATCTAGTTTCTCCTGCCTTATTCAGCCTGATTTCCTGCCATTCTTCAATTTTGGGCAGGTTGACTCAGTGTATTCAAACATGCCCCCTTGTTCTTATCTTTGTGTCTTGTTTATTCAACAAACATTTAGTGAGTGCCTATTGTGTACTAGTCACAATGCTTAGCACAGGGAAACCAAAGATTTATGAGACATGAGGCTTGCCTTTAAGGAGCTCACGGACCAGTAGGGAGATATCATGGAGACACATTGTTACTGTGAAGTGTGATAATGGTGGTGGTATGGTATAAACATAGAGAACCCGAACACAAAAAGAGAGCCTTGTCTATAAGAAACCCTCCTCCTTCTCTGCTAAATCCTACTCATCTGCAGGTTCCTGCCTATACCCTATATAGAGACAGAGTAGTGTAACGGGTTGTTGCTTGGGCTTTGAAGCCAGACAACAAGATTTTAATCCTGGGTCTATCATTTGCCAGCCATGTGATCTTGGCCAGAAGTTCTTTATAACCTCAGTTTCTTCATCTGTAAAATGGGTCTGATGGCAGTATCAACTTTATAGGGTTATTGTGAGGATTAAAGGAGATAATATGCATAAAAGCTTTTAGAATGGCCCTTGGCATGTGGGAAATATTTAATAATTATTAGCTCTTATCATTCTCAGTTTTTACTCATTTTCTTTAGCACTTGTATCATGTCAAGAAACTTTAGCCCTTAATAATCTCTTATTATGTTGCATTAGGGGATTTCTCTGTGATAAAGCCAGGAAAGTCCTAGGCAAAATAGCACAGGTTGATCACCCTACATGCAGTAGGCACTTAAATTTTGCTTTTTATTTGTCTTATTGGTCCCAAACCTAATTTGCGAGCAAGCTCACCCTGCCTTGATCTTCATGTGACATTCGCCCTGTGTGCATGTTTGTCTCTTCACATGGTGGGGGTTTTTTTGTTTTGTTTTTGTAAATAAGAACACCAGTCATATTGGTTAGGGGCCCATCCTATTCCAGTATAACTTGATCTTAACTTAACTTATTGCATCTACAGTTACCCTATTTTCAAATAAGCTCACATTCTGTGATATTGGACTAGGATTTCAACATGTGAATTTGGGGGACACACAGTTTAGCCCATTACACCCATGTCTTCTTCAAGTAAGTCCAATTTTAACTTATTGTCTAGAAAATATAAAGTTACATTCTCTGGGTTTCTTTGGGGATTCTTGAGATTCCCTGAGATTTAAGGTAAATAATTTGAGGGATTCCTTAAACAAAACAAAACAAAAAACAAACAAAAAAACCTCTCTCTTATCAGCTATGGACATATATGCTAGAAATTGTGGGCAACTCCATAGGAGTCTTCTTGAACCTGCCACGCAGTCCCTGAGAGCTCCTCCTGCCTGTTTGTCCCCATCTTTCCCTGCATTTCCCTCATGACTCTGGATAACTTCCGTCATTTGCTTTCCAGAATTGACATACCCCTCTCAAACTCAGTGGCAAAGCCTCTTTCCTCACACAAGCTACTCTGTTTTGTCATGAATGTCCCAGTTGGAACCAAATGATTTTCCTCTCCTTCAACCTCTTCTCACCAGCATCAGGACAATGTCTGCCTTGGGAAGTTGCTTTTCAAGCAGCATTCCTTGGGGATCCCCTGAGGCTTCTCCCAGAATTCCTAAAAGTCATGACAAGTGTTTGCTGACAACCAGCTCATCTTCTCCAGGTTCTATGCCAGTACAATCAAAAGTCAGGGTCAACAGCCTCGGAAAGGTTTAACCCTAGTGTATTCATTTCCTAGGGCTGTCTCAACAAAGCACCACAGATGTATGACTTAACAGAATGTATTTTCTCACAGTTCTGGAAACTAGAAGTGTCAGCTGGCCTGTTTTTTTCTGAGGAATGCAAGAGAGAAATCTGCCCTATGCCTTTTTCTTAACTTCTGGTAGCTTGCTGGCAGTCTAGCATTCCTCGGCTTATAGATACATTCCCCAGTCTTTGCCTTGATTTTCACATGGTATTCCCCCTGTGTGCATGTCTGTCCTTTCATTGTTTTTATTTTTCTTTTAATAGGGACGCAAGTCACATTGAATTAGGGGCTCATCCTACTCCAATGTGACTTGATCTTAATATAACTTATTACAGCTGCAATTATCCTATTACGGTCACATTCTGATATATTAGTGGTTAGGACTTCAACATGTGAATTTTTGGGAGACACCGTTCAGCCAATAACATCCAGGTCATCAAGTGAATCCGAACCCCCCCCATGGAGATGTGGAGGCCATACCATAATTGCTCATACATCCCTTTTAATTCTGCACTCCCTATGGCTGTCCTGCTTGTTTACCACTCTATAGAGCACTGCACCTACTCTAGGGGTATTAAGAAATATATGCATACCTGAGTCACCAGCTCTCAGTCAGAATTCATTAGGAGATTTTTAAAAAGGAGAAGCCTGCTGAGGAAAATACCCATGTCATATAATGTAGTAACTATTATAAAGGCAGTGACTCCCATCCTGATAAATTATGATTACAAGTTGGTTGCCTTTTAAAATTCTCTGGAGAACACCATGGTGTGTACAGAAGGGGCTGGAAGACTGTGAGTGAGTGTGTGTGCACATGTGTGTATGTGCATGCAGTAGCTTAAGATAAAGAAAATCACCAGGCTCCTCTCCAGCCTTCCTGAACACATTCTCTGGGCCCACAGGGAGTAGCCTGCATCTCCCCTCTCTGGCTGTGGCCTCTTCCTTCTGTCAGCTCTCTGGAGTCATGGACCTCTTCCCTTCCAAAGAGATAGCTCTGTTCCAAAAGATAAACACCAGTAGTGACAGGGAATTGGGTGGGGGGTGGAAGCAAAGCGAGTCTTCAGTTCGTGTTTCCTTGATGTTCTCACTTAGAGAAACACAGACCATCTTTGTGGGTGTGCTATTTCTGATCCTGGCAGTTACAGCCTGAGATTGTGAGGGCAAGGATGAGTCTCCATGTGGGTGGGGGCTCGGGAGCGATGGGGTACAGAGATTCTTGCAGGTCTCCCAGCTTCCTTTCAGGGACGTTGTGCCTCTGAGAAGTCCCAGGGGTAGACAAGGCCCCTAGCTAGTGCTGCCTGTGCAGAGCAGCTAGGCAGACTGCTGGCTCACAGAGAGGCGTGTCAGCTCTACGCAGCGCCTCAGTGCCAGCTCAGGGAGCTGTCGGCTCAGCGCCCACGCTCCTCCGCTCCAGCTCGGGGGAGCCCCAGGGTGGGCTGTATGAAGGTGCGACTGCAACTTGACTTTGCCTCACTGTTGTCGCTGGCAGAATACATATACCAATGCGGACAAGCTCCTAGAAGCAGCAGAGCAGTTGGCTCAGACTGGGGAATGTGACCCCGAGGAGATCTACAAGGCAGCTCGACACTTGGAGGTGCGCATCCAAGACTTCGTGCGCAGGGTGGAGCAACGGAAGCTTCTCCTGGACATGTCTGTTTCCTTCCACACACACACCAAAGAGGTAAGGGGAGCCAGTGTTGGAGAGGGAGTGTTGGTCCTGGCAGGGTCAGGTCAGCTTTCTAGTAAATTGGCCCCGAAGTTCTGATCAGGGTCCTGAGTGGTCTGGGGGTTACTGGACTCTTAACTTTGGTAATATTAACAATTTGCTCCTGATAGATTGCATTTAGGTCTCTATCAAAATGGGGCAAAATTTCCTCCCATCATCTCTAATGGGGAAGGGGGCTATGGAGGCAGGTGATTGGTGGGGGTAGTGATCTGCTAGAGCATTCAGTCTGCAACTAAAGAAATTTGGAAATTCCTTGTATAGAAATAGTCATAGCAAGAGGAGTGCAGACTTACTTTCTACTCCACACTCAGTTTCTCTTGGTTAGTGTTTTCTATCAGAAATTAGAGTCCTGTAGAACTTTAATTAGGTACCTCTGCTACCAGCAAGGAACATGCAGAGTTTTCAGATATGGTCTATGTTTTAATTTATTTATTAAACAAGAGATTTAATCTTGTTAATGAGATCTGCAGCAGGGTGATAATAAAGTAGGTCCTTACCTTGCCTGAATGTGGAGTGACGGGCAATGAAGGAAGATGGAACTGAGGTGCTCCCCCACCCCAAGGAGGAGGCCAGCTGGGCTTCAGTCCCAGCCTGAATCATTCACCAAGTGGAAAAAGGGGAAGGAAGGATGAATTATCTTAAACTGCTGGAAGGACAGAGGGGCCCCATAGAGAGGAGGAGGATTGCAAACCTGTGATTGCTTTTCATTTCTGATTAACAAGGGACACTCTGAAATTGAGTAAGTGGCCAGGAAGAGGGCACATTTAGCATCTTCTGCAATAACACCCTTGGCAGATGAACTCATTAGATGTGTGCATCCTCAGGTTCCTCCCAGGAATTCATTTTAATAGAGTATTAATTAAAGTTTGATTGCTGTTCAGGAAAAAAAAATTAGTCCTATTTAATTAAGTTGAATTTTGATACTGGGAATACATTAAGAAGCCTGATTGTTACTACTTCATAGGCTTTTCTGACACTTTGTGAGAATGAATGCAATCATTGCAGTGCCTATCAGAGCAAAATATGAAAAGATAATGTTCTCTAAACTGAAATTCCCCAGGCAGATGTAGGGTTGGCAAACTCCCCGAAGCCGCCTGCTTCCTCTCCATGGGACCCACAACTACTCTCTGATGAGTGTCTATAAAGCAAGGGGATTAGCTTTAATCCAGGGTTTTCTGCCTGGTTGTATGCTTGCTTGTGGCTCACCGATTTCTTAATGATGGGCTCAGAAACCAAAAGCATGTGCATTCCCTTTTAATTATGAGCCTATGGGTGATGGAATAGAGCATGAATGAACAGGAGTCATACCCCCAAGGGGGTTGAGGAGGTGCTGGCTGCATGGAGAAGGAGTAGGCAAGGTCAGTTTCCATGGAGCTACCACTCCTGAAAGGATGGCCACGACTTCCAGGAATTCTTTCTAGCTGCATCTTCCACCTTCTGTACTTGGAGCTAGAGGGCTAGGATCCTAGTCCAGATTCTGTTGCTGTGGCCCTGGCCCTGGGTTTCCTTGTCTATAAAATTATGCAACTGGACTTGGTGACCCTAAGGCCCTTGCAGTTCTAATGTGAGTTAAAAATTCCTTTCTTTTTCTCCTCCTCTTCTTCTTTATTTGATATTGATCATAGTAATTAATAGTATTTAAGCCTGAAGTAGTATTGGTGATTTCCTAGCCTAAGATTTGTCTCATTATAAACATTCAATATATATTATATGTTTTTTAATTGGGTACCCACTTTATACTAGACACATATATCATTTTATGTAACTTACATGTTACTCTTATAGATTTCTATCAAACATGTTTTTAAATGAAAAAACCTAAGCTTCAGAAAAGCCTTGTCTAAGGATACAGAGTTTCTTAGTAGTACAACTGAGATTTTACCTGTCTTCTGATTACCTATACTCTATCCTTTTTTCTTCTAATATCTCCTTCTCTCCTCTGTTCTTCCTCCTCCTTACTTTTATTTTTCTTCTTTACATTTTAAAACCCCACATCAGGATCTTAATAGATCGTGCCTAAGAGATATAAAGTGTTGCCAGGTTTGGGGATGTGGGAGACAAGAATAGTCAGGGCTGAATTTATTAACTATTATTTTTCCAGATATTTCTCAAATCTTGCTAAACCTTGTACTATTGTAACCTGAGACTTGTTTCCCTACTGGGACTCAGTTTATAAAGTCACATTTATATGAAATAGTACTAGAGGGAGCAGTATGATACTGGGGACAGGTGAAAAAAAGAGGGGAACTGAAGTTCTAGGCTATCTATCTAATCAATAGCCATGAGAATTGCCATTTTTAAAATTCCAGTTTTACAATAGGAAAAACCAGTGTTCAAAAATTAATAATTTGCCTAGGATTTTCTAACTAGGATGTAGTAAATATAGAAATTGATCCCAGGTCTTTCTGACTCAAAAGCCCGTGTTTTTTCTCCTTTGCCACAAAGACTTTCACCTGAAGGCTAGTTAAATACAAATTGGAGGGATTGTTTTTCCATCAGGAAATTCATTCAAACAGGAAGCTGTCAGGAGATAACATAGTCTCTTTCCCCTAGATCCCAAAATTTGAAAGAAATTTGGGGTAGTCCTGCCTGGATGCAAAGGGTTCTGTGGTTGTAAGGACCATTCTATTCAAGAGATCTGCAACTCTCAGATCATACAGATTTTATTTTTTTCAGGATGAACAGGAAAGCAGCTTTCTGAGTGGCTGCCACAGAGAAGCTGTTCATGGGGACCATGCAGCAGGAATTTGTATCTGCACGTTTTCTCTTAGTCACTCCCACCCAAACCAGCCTGCATGAAGCCCCCTTTAAATGATTAACAAGACAGGGTAGAAAATATGTGTATATATGTATATATGCACACATTAATAATGTATGTGTATATGTGTACACATGCAGACATACATGTGTGCATACACAACACAAACACATCAAGTACAGCAAGATCTTGGATTCCAGGTAGGTTTGATTTCCAGATCTGGTTTTTCATTGGGCATGCTGTTTTATTACAAAATAAAGTGGTACAATACTAATGTACCACTTTTTTTTTCCTAGTAGGAAACTCCCTCCCAAATTTTTCTTAGTGCTTCTTTAAAGTAGGTTTAATAAGAAAGTTGAAGAGTCAACTCAGGCATCTCTTGTTCTTGAAATCCTGCCCTGGTGCTTCCAACTTCTACCCAGACTGGACCTGAGCACTGTGTACATACCTCCATTAGTGTTGTCAGGATGACACTGAGCTGTGATTGTCTCTTCCTCACTAAATTGGGAGTGCTACTTATATGTACACTACACAGAGGCTATAGATGTACAGGTGGGGATACTGCTATATTTTCCTACCACTGTGATACATAGAGGTGCTGAAGAAATATTGAATCAATGGGTTTTCTTGACAATGGGATACTAGTAGTCTCTCCTAAGAAAGGGAACAGGAAAAGAAGAAGGAAAAGCCCATTCAGCCACATTTTTATCTACCCCAGTTCTTTGTTTTGAGCCCTGTAGACATTGCAAATAAAGGGAAGTAGGGTGGGGAGCTTCCCCCTAGGGCCTATATAGCAAGTAGAAATGGATTATTAGAAGTAAGCATCCTTGAATGGTCTAATGAAAGAACTCCTGTGGTTTGATTTTTTTCACTTTTTCCTTAATACCTCTCAAGACTGACCACCTCTCAAACCTTGCTAAGTGTGGGTCCTATTTGATCCTGAGTCCACTGACTCTTGACTCCTTCCTCTTGACTCTACAGGAAAACTTCTGGCTTTTTTATTCAAGTCAGGATTTGTAGTCTGTTAGGGAATTTTAAGTTGCCTTGGTTGTTTCTCCCTCACTGTGAATAGAGTCAATGGAAGGAAAATCTTCTGCTCAACTTTGCCAAAGTAGACTTGGGTATTGTTAATAGTGTTATAGATTCTTTCTACCTAATTATGGCTACTTTTTTTTCTTTCTTTTCTCCTTTTCTTGCTCCCTTCTTACAATCATTTTCAGGTTTTGTTTATTTTTTTGTTGTTTTTTGCCTTGGCGCCAATATATAACACAGTGTCATCATAGTGTATAATTTTCATGGAATGAAAGCCCCCTTTATAGGAGACTTCTGACTGGGAACTGAATATCCATCTTCATAAATTATTTAACTTAGACTTCCTATGACTCTCCAGGCTGAAGTTCATTATTTTACTTTTGCCCACTTCCCACGTCTAATTTTTACTCTAATTAATATCAGAGAGGAAACAGGAGGAGAATATAAAAACATAAACTCCAGCCTCATTTCTTCTGCAAATTGAAGATTCTGCTTAATTCTATTGCACTTGTTTTGTAAATTCTTCACTATTGTAAGAATCTGGAGGGTTAAATTGTCTAACCATTTCATCACCATGTTATTTATAATCTTGAATCATTAGAGACTATCTAAAGGTTTCACACTGGGTGATTTTGCTAAACAAATTATACTGTACCTGTATAGTAAAATATTACACAGTCATTCTGAATCACATTGCCAAAGATCATTAATGGCATGAGAAAAGGCCTGTGGTATGATATATAAAAACTGCATATCCATAATTTCAATAAAACACATAAAATAAAGACCAGGAGTAAAGATACCAAGAATTTAAGAATGTTATGAGTGATTTAATTTTTTGCATATTTTTCTGTTTTGCAAGTTCCTTTTAATGTTATTTTCAGTTTATAACCAGGAACAATCCTAATATATATTATTTTTAAGAAGCAAAATCTTTCATTTCTCCTTAAAGAGCTACTCAAAAATGAGCGGTCACAAACATGTACTTGGATTCTTATGCATCCAGAGCCTTATCTACTACTATAAATTGTGCTAAACTTTCAAATACCTTCTTTTTTCCTGAAAACAAGTGGGCTGCCGGCTCTGGTTGCTGGTCTGGAGAGCTAGGAAAGGTGTAAGAAGAAATGTTGACTTAAGTTCTCATTCTCTTTGTCCAGGAACAAGGCATTTGTAGCAAGTGTCACCAGCCCTGCAGAGATTGTCCAGACAGAATTCTCTTTTCTTTCTGTGTTTCCATGGAAATGCTACCGTTGCTGGGTTTTTAAAATATTCATTTTTAGATATTTCTGTACTCTAAATATGGCAGTCAAACTAACTGAGGAACATGGTCATAGTAACCAACCTCATCTCCTTTTTAAATGGCTTAATTAAATATCTACCTCCATTTGTTTCTGACCTTGTGAAATCATTCTGCCACACCATTTCCTGCTCAGACAGGTATACACACACCACAAATACCACAAACACTCACATATACACATGTTCCTCTACCCACCCACCCTAGAACCAAAATTAAATCAGTCTTTAAAAGGGATGATGGCCTCAAGCACAAAGCAGCTTTGTCCTCTGTTTCACTTACCATTCTGTTGTGCTGTTTATTTAAGAAATAAAAGTTGGTGGTCGATGCCAAAAACATATGTCTCTTCAAAATAAGGGGGTGAGGGCTTCACCCTGTGGATGTGGTGCTCCTTTCAACATCCCTAAAGGTCAATCCTTTGTATCAGCACAATAGCTTGCCAGAGCTGTGCAAATAAAACAGCCAATCAGCAGGAGAACGTGATGAAATAATGACCTCTTTGCTTAACCACTCATCCATAAGCCTCATTATTTCTTACAAACCTCCTAGTTTCTTCCATCCTTGTCCCCTTCCTGCCTGCCTTTTTTAGTTGCCCTTTTCTCAGGCCGCCCCATGAGATGACCCTGTGGGATGGCCCTTCCTGAACTTACTGGTTGACTACTATGTAGAGCATTGAAAGGCTACCTTCACTCTACCCCTGCCAACATTCTAGAAACTCTCCAATTAGACCCATTCTTTTAGATGTAGGTATTTTTTTGCCACAACCACACATTTTCTAAGAGACAGAATGCACAAAGCCATCTAAGTGAATATATTAGCAAGGCGTAAGTAATCATTGCCAAGCAGAGAGCAGGACCCTAAAAGAATGAGTCATAATACAAGTATGTTTTGATCAAGAAAAGAGGTTCTGGAAATGACTGAAACATGGGATTTTTTCTGGCGAGGGGGTAGGTTGATGGAAAAGGTGCAGTGCTATCATGTTAGACCTTAGATAACAGAGGGTCCAGAAGATTACCCAAGAAAGATAAAACAAAATGAGGACAGTAAGGAAAAAACACACGAGCTGCCTGCCAAGCTATCTCACTCACTCCATGATTTTACCTAATTAGCTTTGGCAATCATTGGCTTGTGGAAGCTTGACAGGAGAGATCATTTTGGCTGGGTCTCATTGGCTGACTGATAATTAGTAAAGTAGTAGTAGAAGTGTCTCTCTAATTTGGACTGTTTTCAAAACATGCTCTTCAGGGTTAAATCAGATGAACATATAAAGTGGAGACCTATGGGACATTCTTATAGTTAGGAAAATTACAGCCTAATAAATGGAATATTGACCCTTACTCATCCTTTAGCAATTTATTTCTGTCTACTTTATGGTACTAAGCCTCAGAGGTACTTATTCAATATTATGAGCTTGCAATTTAAGTTTGCTGCCACTAAGCAGTGATTGTATTTTCCATGTCCTCAATTTTCATCTCTGTCTTGTCACATGTTCTAATTTTTGTTTTTTTAAAACTATCTGGATTTTTTAGTTTCGAGGCTTTCCTTGGATATCCCAAGACAAAGTTTAAAAAATAAGAAAGAGAAGACTAGCCCAACCTAGTATCTTGAAGGACCAAATACAGTGTTCATCTTATACAGATTCCAAAATGAAAGAATACTTCAAACTTTCCTTCTGCCATCTAGAGGAAACTGGAGATGGCTTGCATCACAAATATCTTTTAAATCTTTTAAATTATCTTTTGTAATAATAAGTAGTGCTTATATAGCATTGACAATATGTCAGACACTGTTAATATATCATACTTATTTGTGTATACATACATTTGTCAACTTATTTGTAATCTTTACAACAATGCTGTGCAGGTAAGTACTATTATTATAACCATTTTTGCTGTTAAAAAACAAAAGAAAACAAAACAAAAGTTACAGAAAAGGTAGGTAACTTACCCAAGGCTATATAGCTAATACATGGTAGAACTAGGGTTTGAAATGCTTAACAATTATGCTCTATTGTCTCTCTGTACAATATTTTTTCAGCGAATCTATCCTCTTTTACCTAAAGACTTTAGCATGCTTAGAAAATGGTTTTTATATCTAGATACAACCACAAAAAGTACAAAGTGACATTAAACTGTTGTGACCATTATCTACACTTCTTGGTTTTATACTGATTTGAAATCAGTACAGGGCGGGCTCGGTGGCTCAGCCTGTAATCTCACGCTTTGGGAGGCCGAGGTGAGTGGATTGCCTGAGCCCGCGGGTTCGAGACCCACCTGGGCAACTTGGTGAGACCTCGTCTCTACAATAATAAAAAAATCAGCCGGGTGTGGTAGCACGCACCTGTAGTTCTAGCTTCTCGGAAGGCTGAGGCGGAAGGATCGCCAGAACCCAGCAGGTCGAGGCTGCGGTGGCCGGGAGCAGCCACTGCACTCCAGTCTGGGCGACAGAGTGAGACTCCAACTCAAAAAAAAAAAAAAGAAAAGAAAAGAAAAGAAATCAGTACATTCACACTTATAGGAACATGTATTCCAGCTTTTATGGTCTGGAAAGCCTGTTCTGTGTTTTTTGTAACAAAATGCTTATTTGGAAAAGAAACAAACTGAACTAATTACAACCAGATTTGCAAGCTGATAAATGCCAGGGACACTGAATAGTATTAATTTACACTTCCTATAGCAATCAGGACAATATTATAGGCTTATTAGCCGGGTGTGGTAGTGCGCACCTGTAATTCCAGCTACTTGGAAGGCCAAGGCAGAAGGATCGCCGGAGCCCAGCAGGTCGAGGCTGCAGTGACTGGGAGCGGCCACTGCACTCCAGTCTGGGCGACAGAGTGAGACTCCGACTCAAAAAAAAAAAATACTGCTATAAGTTTATTTAAAGCATTAATAATAAGTAAATTGTTCAGTCCTCACAGTCTTTGATTTGAGCAAGGTAAATCTTATAATTCCCATTTTGTAGATTAGAAAACTGAGGCTCAAGCGGTTATTCACCTGTACAAAAAGAACATTCTTTACACTTTATTCACCACCTCCAAGGCTTATTAATCTGCTTGTTAACTCAACTTCCTCTGCCACAGCTAGCATTTCTCCTGTCTAAAGAACAAAGAATAATTTGTTCAAAATCTTGAAGATTATTTTTCTTATTGTTTATTTTCTCTTTATCCCTTATTGAAAAGCCCATAACATCTTTACCATACTGAGAACCAACTACATGAAATAATATTCTTGAGGTAGATATTTATCTATGTTTTTTAACATGGAAGACTTAAGGATGTTAGAACCAGGTGGTAACTAACCATTTTATTTTATGCTTTCTCTAAGCTATTTTACACATAATGTCATGGAGCTCAAAGGGTACAGAGATTTGTTCAAAGGCATCGTGAGTAATGAGAGGAACAGAAGCCAAAATCCACATCTTTTGACTCCACCTGTCAATTTTCTCTCTTTCTACTGCCTTTTTCCTGGTAGAGCCTGGAGCTAATCTTTCCTGCTAGCAAGGTGAAGACTCCTGGTTTCAAAGCAAACACCAGACTCATCTTTGCCTCCCTCATTTATGAAAATTCTCAATAAGAGTAGTCAAAAGTGTAGACCTGTGACAGGCAACTAGAGACATATTTTCAGTATGATGAGGAAGTGATCAGTAAATAAGCTTTTAGTGATTCAGTTTTATTTTCAGTGATCATTGTCAGTGCTTATTTTGTTCAAAATGCTAAGCTCTTTTAAAGTTGTCTGACCAGTAATATAATCCTAGTCACATTTTATCATCTTGAATATCATGGGAAAATGTCTCATGCTTTTATTTAAATTAAAATAAGAGACATCTTTAGCATTCAACTTTCTAACCCACGTAGCAATTCTGAAAAGAACAAAATAGTAATAGCATATGCACATGTTATGCTTAATTAATCTTCATTTAGTTCTTTTGAGCACCATATTCTATTTTGCATATTTGCAATAGCATGATAAGTTTTTAGAAATCAATGTGCATAGAGCCCTCCCTTTTCTCTTTCCAGAAAGATGAAATAATATTTGTCCATTCTAGTCTTCTGTTCGTCCTAGTCTCTCAAAGATGAATGATCTCCTTGCTCTAAGACTGGTAGGAAAGTTAAGCCAAGGGTGATTCCTATCTTTAGGGAATGCCAACACTAATGGAGTAAACTTAGCAAAGATGGGTAAGGAATAGAAATGTGGAAAAACAAACTGATCCATGGGTGTACTGATGAGAACAGCACTAACTGGTTGAGGATAGGTTGGGTAACTCCAATCCAGCTTCCTTGCCTTTGCCCCAGCCCTAGCCTCTCCCATCTGTCCTGAGTGGGGTCTCTACTCTTTCCCCCCAGTTGTGGACATGGATGGAAGACCTTCAGAAGGAGATGCTGGAGGATGTCTGTGCAGACTCCGTGGATGCAGTACAGGAACTGATCAAGCAGTTCCAGCAACAGCAGACTGCCACCCTGGATGCCACGCTCAATGTCATCAAGGAAGGCGAAGACCTTATCCAGCAGCTCAGGTCAGCGCCTCCCTCCCTGGGGGAGCCCAGCGAGGCCAGGTCAGCATGGGCAGTGCTTTCCAGTGGGAAATGCCTTGGGCTAGACGTGAGATAAGTTCTGTCCCAGTCTTGACTCAGCCACAGTCTGTCCTGTGGACTTGTATGAGCTTCAGTTTCTTCATCTGTAAGATGTGAAAATGTCTGCACCATACCCAACTTGAGTCTAGAATGAAATAATAAATGGAAAAACTCTAAAGTTTCAAAGCATCATTTATCATTCAAGATGTTATTCAGCAGTGTTGTATTTTGTAAATGCAACAAAATTCAACAAAAAAATAAATATCTTCATTAATAATATGGCCTATTTGATCATGTGGAGAGATAGACATTATGGAATATAATGTTATTTGATCTAATCTTAGACTGAAATCTGAACTCCAGTGCCCCAGTCAATAAAATCTGGCCATTTTCCTGTTGTTTGACTTTGGCCCCATGAAAATATAGAGAACACGTGTTGCTGTCCCACTTGCTCTCTTTGTCATCATTCCTGGCTGCCCAGAAAATAAAACTCTTTCTGTATAAACCCAAACAAACATAACTAAGCAGGAAAATCCTATCTAAAACCTTATATTTGTTTAGAATTACCCACATCATTGCCTCCTTTATATTGGCATCAATATCTAGTTTGCTCCCCTGTCAAGGGCACTGGTTCCTCAGATAAAGTGTCATGAGGCCTTGAGCAAGCCCTCAGCAACTAGCCCCATGCCCAGATACTGTATAAATAGGATTTGATGGTGCTAATGATGCCTGCCTGCAGGGACTTGTTCCTATCCCAAAATCACTGAATGCTGGGACCTCTGCCAACTCTGAACAGAAATAATCTCATCAGCAAGTCCCAGGCCAGCCCCGGGGCCTGAGGGAATTACTTCAATTGGAGAGGGCTTTTCCCCCCATAACAGTTGTCCAATTAAATAAACAATGAGAAATTACCTTTAGAAGACCCTGGCATGTTTTCCTGTTGGAAATTAATAATTTCTATTCCAAACATGCACATGAGATGTTCTGAATCTTCCTATTGCATACTAACAAGACAGCTTCTTTCCCTTCTTCCCCCAGTTCATCTTCATGAATATATAATACATGACAGTTTTGTCTGCCTCCCTAGGACACTCTACTGTCATCTGCTTCTGAAGAAAATTCCAAATAGTAGGCAGTCACTTAACCTCTCTGGGCCTCAGTTGCTTCATCTGTGTAATTAAGGCGTTTTCTCTAGGATCTCTGTCAGCCCTAGAATTTTGTGATGGCTTTGAATTATCTCTCTAAATACTTTTCTCAAGCATGGCTGGCTAGCTGGCTTCGCTGTCCTGTGGGGCTGAGTTGTGGAGATGCCACTTGTCCTTAACAACTGCCAACCTGCACAATGCCTAGGGGCATAAGGTTACTCAGTGGTAGTGAAGGCAACAATGTGAATGATGCCTGTTCTATAAGATTTTAGAGTCCCATAAGTTATGACATCCCATAGGCCATACATTCCTCCACTAGCCTAGACTCTACCCTAGGCTCTCCTCCCTGACATCACTGCCAAAGAGAAAAAGAAGTAAATGGTGCTTAGTGGACATTGGCAGGGTGCCTCACACACATCAGAAGTACGTCTTCCTCTGGTCTTCCTGGTTCTCCCTGAGGCTTATCATGGGAGCACCCTAAGGAAGCTTTTGCATCATCTCAATGATTCCTAGTGAGTGTGACACTGACATAGGTGCTATATAAAACAGTAAAATCATTCTCTTCTTTTGGAAGCTGTGTGACAGAAAAAGAATGAGAAAAACAGGCAGAGAGAACAATTAGATCCTCCCAGCAGCAAAGCCCTCAGCAAATCTGTAGTGGATAGCATCAAGTACATCTCTTATGTTCTTTTCGTGACTGGGGGTATCCATGCAATAGTGGGGGTAGGAATCGTGCCTGTTTCATGATCAAATAGGCCAGGGTCAAGAGGTAGAAATTGGAAGTTCTCTGAATGACAAGGAGTGCTTGACAAACTGGCCTTTGGCTGTCTTCAGAAACACTATGAGCTCAGACACTATTATTTCTGAGACAAGCAGAAGCTAAACAGATGTGGCTTTCAGAAAGCCTCCTGAGGAGAGGATTTGAAACTAATGATTTTCCCCTTATCTTGTGACTTTTGAAATTGTATAAGAAATCAAGATGTTACAGGATAATGAATATGCCAGTTTATTTCAAGTTTAAGGCTCTAGCTTACTAAAGACCCTATAGAATCAAAACTTCTTAACCTCTGTAGTTTTCCTATTAGGGTTGTCTCATTGGAGGTCTTATTACCAGCTCATTTCTCTGAGCAAGTCAATCTGTTTAATTCTTGGTTCCTCGCTACCACATGTCACCTTCCCCTACTGCTTTTGTGTAGCTGCTGCCTGCTCAAAGGGCATGCCCCCTCCCACCTACTTGACTATGTTTATCTGTTTCTTCAAACCCGCAAATCAAAACTCCTCGAAACCTTTGTTGATTGTCACAGCCTCTTATGATCTAGCCTTTAATATCTCAAGTTGAGCCTGTGCCCTAGTCAGCACTTGACAATTCATTTGTCTCGTTTCAAGATTAATAATCATTTCTACAATACGAATTCACATGCAGTCTCATTTAACAGTAAACTGTGAAGTGAACAGGGCAGTAATTATTAAGTCCACCTTACAGGTGAGGTAGCTAGGGCTCAGAGAGGTGATTTGCTAGGGCTATCAACCTTTATATATCAGAGCAGAGACCTAATTCAGGTTTTCAGACTCCAGATCCTATGCTTTCCTAACTACAGCTCGAAGCCTGTTTTATAACACAAGCCCATAACTTTGGCATAGCGTTATAAAGTGGATGCTTACAATTTTGGCAACCATGACATCATCTTATTTTAACAATCTTGTGAGGTAAAACTAGGAGGGTTTTTTAAAAACATGTCTTTATATGTCTTCCCTTATGTATGTGATATATGTTTTATGTGTATTTCTTAAAACTATACATGTCAGACTATACTTACGTATGAAACCATTTTTTTCTCTACTATCTTATGTTTTATAGATCCAGTTCTCATATATTATTTCATTTTATTCCTTTCACAGTTCTTTCTGAGGAATAGAATAGTAGCTAGTCCTGGAAATACAGAGTTGTGAACCCAAAAGAACATGTTGTATATTTGGTTCACCTATTTAGCAGATAGTATCTGCTTACAGTAGGAGTTTGATAAATGTTTATTGATTGAATGACTCAACAGATTTGAGACCATTTGCTCAGGTGAGAAAGACCCTCCTCCTTCTCTGTCACTTCTAACATGGCAAGGTCTCTCCCTCTCTTCTTTCTCCGTGCTCTGCCACAGGGACTCAGCTGTGTCTAACAACAAGACGCCCCACAGCAGCTCCATCAGCCACATTGAGTCGGTCCTGCAGCAGCTTGATGATGCCCAGGTGCAGATGGAGGAGCTGTTCCATGAGCGGAAGATCAAGCTGGACATCTTCCTGCAGCTGCGCATCTTTGAGCAGTACACCATAGAGGTAGAAGGGGGTCAGGGCGTGGGGAAAGGTGGAGAGGGACCAAGGAGGGTGCTTCCTTGTTAAGGGTACTACCCCCAGGACAGGGCAGTAGCCTAAAGGAATTGGAGTATCAAGCATGCATTTTTAGAACTCAAGAAATTCCCATTTCACCGTAATATATTTCTTCCCATCCCTCTCATCCCCTACTGCCAAACAGAGCCCCTCCAGTTTACTTTCTGTCTGTGGCTTACTTCATTGGGAAGATTTTTATTGCTATTCATTGGACTCTTAATTGGTACTTTGGTTCCTGAAAGACCATGGAATTGGCTGTTTGATGACTGAAGTAGAGTCATTGAATTCCATAGCTTGATGAGTGGGTAGGTGCGGAAATTAGGTGGCCTCCCCAATCGAATCAGGGATTAGATACAATGGCACAACAGCCAAGAAGCCAGGCATCATAGAAAGAAGGACCTGTGTCCTCAGTTTGACTTCTACCCATTAAAGTAAGTCTGCACTAAAGCCGTTTGTTGATTCATCTCATAGACTCCTCAGTTCATTTCAGAAGGTCAGAATCACAGTCTGGTATATTTATGTCTCCTTTGTGATATCAGTTAATAAAGTCTGTCCCACATAATTTCCACCTTTTATTATCTCCTGCTTTGAAACAGTAACTAAAGCCAGACCAACAGGGTTTCTGGGATATGAAGGATATACAACACATCAAACACATCAGGCACTTTTTCCTTTTCAGGAATGAGAAGGGGTTAAATTAAAGGTATTGTCTTCTCTTTGCTTCTGTCGGGTAGAGTAGGAGGGAAAGCCAATTTTTCACCCACCATTTCTTTTTAACTTTGTTTTGCATTTGAACCATCTCCCTGGAGTTGGGCTTCTGGGTTTCTGCTGACTAATCTTCCCAACAATATCTGTGGAAACTCAGTGGAACTGGTTTGGAAGGAAAATGATTTTTAATATTGAAAGCTTCAATATCCTATCCTATTCCAACTCAGGACTGGAAACTGTTTTTGCAACAGCTGCCCTTTTCTTTAATCCTGGGACCAATTATATTCATATTAAGAATCTGAAATGTAAAAGAAAAGCAATCTTAAAGGTATTTATCTTCCTATGTCTTATTCTCTTATAAGTATATCTATACCTGCCCCCCCCGGGAACCCTTGTAGTATTTCTTGCTTAAAGATTTCATGTTCTAAAGCAAGGCTCGGTGGCTCAGACTGTAATCCCGCATTTTGGGAGGCTGAGGTGAGTGAATTGCCTGAGCCCGCGGGTTCAAGACCCGCCTGGGCAACTTGGCGAGACCTCATCTCTACAATAAATCAAAATATTAGCCAGGCGTGGTAGCACATTCCTGTAGTTCCAGCTACTTGGAAGGCTGAGGCGGAAGGATCACCGGACCCCAGCAGATCGAGACTGCAGTGGCCGGGAGCGGCCACTGCACTCCAGTCTGGGCGACTCCAGTCTGGGCGACACAGTGAGACTCCAACTCAAAATAAAAAAAAAAGATTTCATGTTCTAAAAAGTGGTTTCTGAACAGTTTCTGGAACAAAGAAAAGTTCTTAAATCTAGATTTTAATTATCCTTCCAACTGGTTCCATAACTTTGGGTGAATTTATTTATACTTTTTATTTATCTTGAATCTACTCTCAGAATTTCAGGTGACAAGTTGTATTAAAACATATTTTGGAAGAAAAATTAAAATGCTAGTGGAAAGATAAAGATATTGGCATGCAGTGAAGAGTGTATGTAGTGAACTTCATAAAGATGGGGCAACAACGATAATAAAGAGAGGAAAGAAAAAGGGTGTGAGTCATTATTCTTTAGTGATGGGGAGTGAGACTCACAAAAATAAATAGACATTAGGTTTGTTTAAAGTGGTGTAGGCCACAGGCCCTCCCACAATCTTTCCTCAGCTCTCTTTGCCCTCTGGGATTGAATATATCCATGGGGGAAATTATGTTAGCAGGTATAGTGATTTTGCTGTTGTATTTTTTATTTACTCTTCTGTCATTCCAGGTCTACATCAAAAAATGCTTACGGGGAAGGAAACAATCTGAGGGTTTGAATGTTTAAGTTTTATTTGATTAGACTGCTACAGTCTGGAGGTCTGAGTTGCTAGTTCAGACCTGAAATGCGTTGGTTGGCTTCACTTTGACATGGACTGCACCCCTGACATCAGTTAGGGGCATCACAAGGGTGTATTTGCCTGCATCGATTCTAGGCAAATCTAGTCTCACTCCTGAAAAATAATCCAAAGCATTTGTAGAAAATATCCTTTAAAAATATGAGTATAAATCAAACTCTTTAAAATTGGATTCTATTTAAATATTACAATAGAGGAGCTTGATATTTAAATTGTAGGATTTGCATTCTTCAACCTTACTTTGTATGAAAACTCCTCTTCCCACCCTGAGTACTGAACAATAACTTGGATAACTTAGTAGAGAAAAAGTGGGGAAATAGTGTGAGGGCCTCATAAAATGAGGGAAATGAAAATCATGATTCAATTTTGCATCCTCTGCTGTAGGCTGTAATTCTAGATTTCAGAAGGGTCTTGATCCCCATTGAGGGGAAGGCCCAAAGCTTGGGAAAATGCTGCATCTAATCTTAGACAGAAATGGAAATTCTGCCAAACCTATGGAAAAGTTCTGCTTCAAGTCAGATTGTCACAAGTTATTTTTGAGGGTGATGAGATTATTTCAAATACCAGCAATGTTTCACTGTGGAGATGAAGAGCAAACTTTTAGAGAAGCTTCAGAGTGTGAAACTGAGGGTGGTTTCTGTAATGAGAGGCGTGTCAAAGCAGACATAAGCCAGGGCAGGATCTGTGATTGCAGGACCTACAGCTGTGATTGCAGGACCTAAAGGATGGCATTTGATAGACATACTCCAAATTCCTCGGGATTACTGAACACCAGAGAAGGCCTGCTCTCCTGACATCTGGGGAGTCTCCTTAACCATATCACTGATGGCTGAGATGAACCGACGAATTTAAGAATTAGGATAGCATATGAATTGCTGCACCCATCTCCTTTTACTCAATAATAATGGTGTAAACAGCTCTCACATTATAACCTTGAATGACATCATAGGGTACCACAACTTAAAGTGGAACATCCCAAATTTGTTAGATGTTCAAAACCAGGACTGCAGCTGGGTTCCCAGCATACCTTCTTGGACTCCATGGAGACTAGACAAAGTGATCTATAGTGGAACATGATGTTCTATAAAGTTCTTTCCTGTAGGTTCAGCCTCCCTCCATGAAAGACATTTTATATGAACTGGTTACAATAGAAGAGGCACTTTACCAAATGCTAATAGTGTTTGTGGTGATAAGAATATGGGTGATTTTTTTGTCTTATTTTTTTATGCTTTCTTGCATTTCCAAGTTTTCTAGAATTGGAATGGTCAGAAAGAAATAAAAAGTACTTGTAGAAGCAAGAATAGGCCAGTGTTCTCTAAATATTTTTTATTATGTACCTTCTTAATACATTTTTTTGAACTTGCAGCCCCCTAAATAGCTATGCCTATTTGTTTATAAATTATTAGTGTTCTATCACTGGCTGATAATCTCAATACCTTTTGGATGAGTTTAGATTTTCATTCAAAATTATGGTTTCATATTTCAAATAGTCTTCTAATAATTTTCAATTATTTTTTTGCCTAACTTCTTGACATGTCTGATTAGAATGTCATTGTTTCCTTACCCCAATAATGTGACTGACAGAGAGCTCAAAGTTCTCTTGGGCTTTCATGATTAGTATTATCTTCAAACTGCACTTTCTTTGCAGAAAACTTGTTAAACCATGTATCTTTTTGTGAAGTTACTTTAGTTAAAACTAGATAAATTCATTTTACTGGGCACATGAAAAAGAGAAATAATTTGAAATACACTGAAGGCAATGAACAAATGTGCCACAGTCAACCACTCTAAATTGTGACACTCATACCTTCCCTGAGAAGTCCTGTTTATCACATATGGTATAAAACCATCTGTCGTGTGGTCAGAGTAAGACTCTATTGTCAGTCTACTAGTGAAACTGCAAAGAAACTTTATATGCCTTTTATTGTTTTGGTAAATTGTATGTGAACATAGTATATATACACACATATGTGCATGTTTATACAGAGATAATTTTTCTATTATCAATGGATAATCTTGGGCATCCCCCGAGGTCAACATACTTACTTTAGAGCATCTTAGAAATGACACCAAGAAAGATATTTTAGACAGGGGACTTTCTGAAAACATGGGCCACCTTTATGGTCTTTCTTTTAAATTTCTAACTCTGTTATTTTAAATAAAGTCTGCTTAATGCACGTAAAAGATCATTTGAGTAACTAACCTGAGTAAGGAATGAAATAGTCTACTTTAAATCCATGGAGTTTACATAAAAACAAGTAGGGTCAGACTGAGGCTGAGAAGAAATGGTGTTCAAGGAAAACTTCCACCTAGAGAAGAGAAAGCTGATTGTAACTTACTGGTAGTCTCAACTCTTCAGTTGGTTGTAGGTAGAGACCCTTAGCATTTTATATTAGAAAGAGATCACACAGTCAGCCATTTAGCTATATAAAAATTCATTTCAATCAACATTTAATGAGTACCTGCTTATGTACCAAGACTTACATTGGACAATGAGGACATAACAGTCCTTGTTCTTAAAGGACTAGTTGGGGAGAAACACAGCAACAGAAACTCATATAATGTGAGAATTCTGGGATAAAGAGAAACTTACAGTGATGAGAACATTGGGAGGCAGGGATGCTTACCCCTGTGAGGATTCTTACAGAAAATTTCCCATTGAGAATATTCCTGAAGGACAGGCAAAAGTTTGTGGTAAGAATTTGGCATTCCTGGAGGATGCCATCCAGCCTATAACAGAACATCTCCAGAGCTCAGAAATGGGGCATAGCAGGAAAGGGAGAAGAAAGGAGGGAGCTCGGGATTTCATTATTGTGTTGAACTAAAATTTCTACCTTTGACACTTTGGTCCTCCTTCTGCTCTTTG